CGGGGGCGCTGGGGCGGAGGCGTCAGCTGCTCCCCTCTGCAGAGGCGCTGGTAGGCGGCCCCGGGGCAGCCCAGAGCACGGAGGAGGAACTCGGAGACTCCTCGCGGGGCCTGGCAGGGCAGGTGGCAGGGGCAGAAGGGCAGGCGGGCAGCCCCCGGGCCAGTGGGGGCAGCTGTGTGCGGGGGCCAGGCGTCCCCGAGCGTCGCGTAGGAGGCAGGAGGGAAAAGGATGGAGACGCTTTGACTCTGAAGCAGCAAGTCCTGGCCTTTGAGGGAAAGTGCAGGAGCCCGAAGGAAAGAAGTGGAGGTGCCGCGGTGGACGCACGGAAAAGCAGGCAGCGCTCGTTTTCAGAGCCAGGAGTGCAGGTGCCTAAAGAGCCAGGGAGCCCAGCGTGTGAGGACAGATGTGCATCGGTGGAATCGGGGTCTTGGGGAGCAGCAAAGAGCCCTAGAAAGAGGGGCAGGTGCTCTTTGTCTGAGTCAGGACCCCAGGAGAAAGAAGGAAGTCCTGGGGAGAGGGGTGAAAGCTTTTTGGCAGAAATAGGCTTGTCCGGGCCTCTGGATAAAGAAGGCAATCTGGGAAAGCAAGACAGGCTGATTGTGGAACCAAAGTTACAGAAACCAAAGAAAAGGGGTAGGTATTCCTTAGGGATATGGCAGCCACAAGGTCCTCAAGAGCTAGCAAGCCCAAGAAAGAGAGAGAAGCATTCATTAGCAGTGGAGTCCCAAAGCTTAGGCCTTCAAGGAGGAGGAGCAAGTAACTTGGGGGTAGAGGGTGAGCACTTCTGCTCTGTTGTGAAGTTAGGGCTGCAGAGCACGGGCCTCCAGGAAAGTACAGAGAGCCCAAAGAGAAGGAGTAAGCACTCCTTGGTAGTACCAGCAATGATAGGCCCTTATGAGGGAGCTGGGAATATAATAAAGAGAGGCAAATTATCTGCCACAAACCTGCAACCAATAAACTTAGGCCTTCAGGGAGGAAAGAGAACTATAGGGAAAAGAGCCAGGAGCTCCTCTGTAAAATTGTGGCAGTCAGGATCCCAGAGTGAAGCAGAAATTTTAGGGAAAGCAAGTAAAAGTTTCTCTGAGGGAGGAAGACTCTCGGAAAGCAGGAAGAAGAGTTCCTCAACAGAAAAATGGGTAACTGAATATGTAGAGGAGAGGTTGATGCCAAACAGGGTTTCTCTTACCGGGACTACTCAAGGGAACAGACAAGGAAAGCTGGATAAGCAACAGGCTTCAGGGCAAGAAGTTATTTCTGCACCTACAAATGATCTGTTCATTAACAGACTAGAGGATGATGGTGAAAGACAGACAGATGGCGATGAAGAGACTGTGGTTTCATCTGAATTAAAATTAAAGATAAGGAAACCTAGTAAGAGAACTTATTCAGTATCCCTCATGCATTGTCATTTTATTTGTTCTCATCTAAGATATTACATTGGTCTAAATTTTCTGATCTTACTGCTTTTTTAGGTAACAAATGTACTATCTTAAAAGCAACAGAAACAAAATGCACTTGACTCTATTGTTGGCATGTTAACAGAGCATTGTGTTGAATTGGTGCAATTTGAGGGACATTTAAAAAAATAAGCTGTAAATAGTCCATAAAGATGCAAAATCTAATGCTTGTCTGAGAGAGGAACTAATTTTACCTTTAAAAAACATTCATTAAGGAATTATTTTTCAGTGAAGGAGAACTTGGGTCAGGTCTTTGCCTACCAGTACAAGGCTACAATCCAGGAGCATTATTATTGCTTCTGATTTCTTTGTGGTAATACAATAGTTTGTTAGAAATCGCTATATTTGAAGTCTTATATATGGGTTACACAGTTACTAGGGTAGGAAGACTGAAAATTTAAACCTTACTTTGAAAACAAATATTACACAAGAAAGCTTCAGTTTTCTTGCAAGGCATTATTGATTCATTTTGAAACTTTTACAGAAATATTTGGTTTCATGAATATTTTATGATAAATGATAATATATAGTGCATAAAAATATAGCAATCTCATAAATTATAGAGCAGCCCTGATTTATTGCATTTTATTATACTCCTATGACGGATATAATATGTTGTTAAACAATATTTCTTTTCTTGCATCCACTAGGAAGAGCAAAAGGTTTTACATAAAATGTAAAAACTTTTACATTTACTTAAAAAAATCTTGTCAGTTAGGTATGTTTGAGGTAACTGTCAATGCTTTCAAATGCTTTATCTTATGACACATTATTGCTGCTTTATTAAGATTTTTATAGAGTGCATATAGTAAGCCTGTTAATATTGCTGGTTATTTTCTGTATGTGGGAACATTGGCAAAATGTTACATCATAACTACATTTTAGCTGTACAAAGCTTTATTTGTTTGTGGGTGATCTTGGAAGAATCATGTTTACAATTTTTTTTTAACAAGACCGTATTTTTTTTTCTCTTAAATCAATTGTATTAGTGTATAAAATTGACAATAATTCTTTTTTTAATTAGCAAAGAGAAAAGGAATGGACGTTAACGAAGTTCCAGATGCACAAGTTGAAAAGCTGCTAGAGACTGCTCAGAATACAGCAAAAGAATCCAATGTAAGGACATCATCACTAGTAGCTTACTCTGAATCTTTCCAAGTACCTCAGTCAGATGGGACTCAAAGTAAGATATCAGCATCCCGTTGTTTAGCAAGAGGTTCTGCAGTAGATTGTAATAGAAGAAAAAATAAAATCACCAAGATCAAGTGTTTACAAAGATTGACTGTACAAACAGCTGAAAATAAACTGACAACAAGCAAATCAATAGAGTGTAAAGATGAGTGCAGAGAAGCCTTGAAACAGCATAACAGTTTGCTGTCCACAGCAGAAAAGAATCCAGTTGTGGCATTACATGACTGCCGTTACCTTAATACTTTTGTAAAGTCTTCAGTTGATGGAAGCGGCAACAGTTATAAAATTGATAGTGGCTTCTTGCACATACTACACAGTAAAACTCTTTGTCCTGGTAGCGTTACTGGACAGAGTGGTATGAATGCAGTGCAACCTGAGAGATGGTGTGCACAGGGGATTATATCATTTGATGAAGTAGGAACATGCCAAAACAGAGAGAAATGTTTTTCATGCTCTCTAAACAGAAATAAGTGCTTCAGGGAAAGAAAATGGAATATTGGTGAAAAGCCCAGGAAAAAGATGAAGCTTTTTGAGAAAACAGAAAAATTAGCAACCCAGAGTGTTCTCCCAGGCAGGGTCAACAGTGAGTGTGAATTACATACAGGAAATAAAACTCTTGCAACGGTTTCTTTGGAAGTTTTAGGGGAATTAAATAGAAATAAAATTTGTTTGTCATCTTCATGTGATCTAATATCAAATGCCCATGTGGAAACTAATACTAAAAAAGTACTAAATAGTCTGCCTAAACCAGTCAGTAGAAAAATGTGCATGAAACCTGGTGCCATAGAAGATAGATTTGAGAAGAATCTTCAGCTCCCTGAAGCTGAACAGAGTGAAAAGTCTTTCTTTAATGCAGAAAGTATGGCACCACAAGATCATTCTAACTTGAAAAGTCCTGGAGTGATTAGATTGGTCAGTGACATTTCTAATTGCTGCAGTGATTCAGGCAGTTGTCAGAAAAAATTGTTGAATGAAAAATTGTTAAAAAAACCTGAGAAGTTGCAAGCATCCAGCTGTCAAAGAGCAATACCAGTGACTGGCAAAAATGTTTGGCCTCGTGAATCATGTGCCAGGACTTCTGTATGGTTTCCTAAAAAAGATGTAACCATCATAGAAAAACATTTTTCCGTAACTTCTTTCCAGGGCCGTTCGTATCAAAACACCGAAACTTTGAGAGGTATGGATGTAACTGATAACTCCAAGCAATTATATCTGCATATGTCTATGACAGAAATTAACAAACAAAATGCATGTAAAATAACAGATTCTAATACAGAATGTTTAGCTTCTGTTGCAATACCAGGATCATCTCTCTCAGATATTAATGGGGCTTTGAGGGTCACAAAAGATGAAAACTTGGAGTTGTCATTAGACAAAGGTAGAAGTTCCGTGACTTTTAACTCTGACAGTGTGCAGGAAGGCAAGGTAACTTTAAATTTGTCAGGAAAACAAAAACAAGATAAAAATAAAGGTGCTTTAAAAGCAAAAAATGTAGCCATGACTTTCCAAGATAGCACGTCTGCAGATAATGTAGGCAAAATGATCTGTAACCCTGAGATACCTGTTACAAAACAAACTCAGGAATTTCCAGGCTTAGTGAGAATGTTAAGCACAGGAAATCTGTCAAATTTCAAAATTCCTTTACTGAGAAATAAAATTGAATCCAGGAAAGTGGACTATATTAGATCATTTTAGCCATGACTTTCCAAGATAGCACGTCTGCAGATAATGTAGGCAAAATGATCTGTAACCCTGAGATACCTGTTACAAAACAAACTCAGGAATTTCCAGGCTTAGTGAGAATGTTAAGCACAGGAAATCTGTCAAATTTCAAAATTCCTTTACTGAGAAATAAAATTGAATCCAGGAAAGTGGACTATATTAGATCATTTGAAAGAGAAACATACAGTCCATTGGAACTTCTTGACAATTCTGCTGCTACACCAGTAAGGCAGAACAGGACCAAGGAGAATTCCCCTTTGGTGTATTCTGACTTTTTTCTGGCCACTGCAAAGGAAAAAGCTTACCAAATCACCAATAAAAACTTTGGAAATGATGGTTCAGAAAGACTTTCAGATGAAAAAAAAAGACTTGCTGAACATATTTCTTCATGTACATGGGACTTTCCTGAGAGAGAATTAATGTCACCTACTTCAGAGGGTACTTCCGGTACTGAATTTAGAGAGAGAAGTAATGTGGCTGATCACTCCAGCAAAACAGTTAAACATTCTACTTCATCTGAAGTATTTGTCAATGACGAAAACAAATTGAAAGAGAAGCCTACACAGAGTTCATCTTCGAACTTTCCAGATGTTCTTAAAGCATATGAAGATGACATTCTTGTGATAGATGTAATTCAGGATGACCCTGACCTTTTTGGAACTACTAATGAAGGAGAGTTTACAGTGGACTGTGAAACTGAAATTAAGAAGCATGATAATATTCTCACCCCAGTGGAAAAGCGGAATTTTACTCCCAAATTCCATAACCTTCAAGAAAATAAGGACTCAAACTATTATCATGGGTATGCAAGGTCAGTCTTTTGTTTTCAATTTTAAATTCTGTGTAAAACAAGTACTTTCAAACATCAACATAGTTTAGTCACAGTGTTTCAGGTTTTCTTAAAAACTGCTTTCATGACATTATAAAAGGTGAAAGTGGGCTTTAAACATGGCAATGCTCAGAAGCCAAATACATCGGCATGTGGTTACTCCATAAGAAACAGAATGTAAAGCTGTTACTGCATAAGAAACAGAATGTAATACTGATTTTTAAAGAAGTGGTGCTTAAACTTTGTGTGGAAGGCATATTGGGAGCTGGAGGCATGGGCTGCTTATTGACCCCCAGGTTAGACCTTGCACACTGACAATCAAGGCCATGTCATCCAACCCCTCGAGTAAAAAAATTTAGCAGTGGGGGAGTGGTAGCAGCATTAATTGCAGTGGGGCTCCCAGAGCAATTAACAGTGCCATTGTTCTGTCTCCACATTTCTAGACTGTGCTTTGAGCACCACTGCTGTAAACAAAACTAGAACTGAGCTGGTCAAACAGAATTAGCTAGGCCAAGCAACAACAACAACAAAAAAGTCTGATCTTTACAAATAAGACATTAGAGTAATAATGGTAATGATTAATATCTATGAATTGCCATATATATATATATATATATATATATATATATGCTACCAAAATAGCCTTTAGTTGTTAAAGTATTCTGAAACATTTCTCTTCATCGTTTTGTGTGTAAGTGATCTTGATTTCTCAAAATACTAAAGAATACATTCATCTTGCTCAACTGAATAATTAAAAAAACTAGAATTTGGCTAAGTGTGTACTAGTTTGCTGCAAGGTTCTATTTTACATTAATTGTGTGCAGAATAGTCAACGTTTTGTACTATTCTTGCATTGTTTTTGATCATTGTTCATAGTAAACTGTGGCAAAGGAGAAATAATTAACAAACATCTATAAATGACTGCCAACCATTTATGTAGTATAATCTGTCCATATCAAAGCCTTTAGAGAATTTCAACCTCCACAAACTCTTCATTTTTTCTCTTTATTGTTGCAAGTCTTAATACAAAATGGTCATTTTAAAAAAACAGCTTTAGCTTGAAGTTGAGAGTCTAGGATGTTCTTTAAAGATGGGAATGCCTCCCTGTGTTCTGATATTCTCTCTGTGTATATTCTTATGGAAATCTTCACTAAGATCCCCCTAATGTACAGTTTGCAGATACTCAAAATAGTGTTTGTATTCTCCATTGGGGTTTTTGAGCATGACTGCTTCTTAGTGGGACTTCTTTACGTCCATAGGTTTCGTGGTTTGGTAATTTTTTGCCTGGAGAGGAATTGTTCTCTCTAAAATATCATCCACTTGTGGCAACAAAATAAGGCTTAATTCACAGTTTCTTATACATATCTGTGGTCTGCTTTCTCCATATATACTGAGGAATGATATAGTCAGTGTTGACAACAATGAGCCATTGCTTAATACAGTGGTTAAATAAATTTCAGAGCCTCGAGCCTCACAAAGACATCACTGCATCAGTTATATTTGGCTTGCATATTTGAGAATTTTTTTTAACAACCATGATCGCTGGAGACTGGTTTTTAAATTAATGAGACTCTAGAGGGTAAGGTAATAGTTCCGGTGAAGTATTAGTACAGTTTATGAGTACCTGCCACCTTTTCTGAGCCCTGACTCATTCTGTATTATATTCTATAATGTTCACCTGTGTTGCAGAACTTCATTTGTTCACTCTCCAAATATGACTTGATGGTGTATGAAGAAGAGAAGTTTGCAATTATAAATATAAAAGAAAAATAGATTCTCAACATTAGAAAAACCTTCATTTTTTGAGGGGAAGTTTAAAAAATAATAGAAAAGTTCTGGAGATCTGAAACAAACATGTCATACATGGTCACTTTGTAGCTAAAAAGTCTTTTAAATATTGACCTTGAATGTTGATGCATTACAGAGGGATAGTAACTATAGTGACAAGCATTAATCAGCAGGACTGATAAAAAACAATTGTAGTCCCTTAAAAAAGCAAGAGAAGAGAAGATGGTTCTGCTGCTCCAGCCACCTGGACTAGAAAAACTGAGTTCAGGAATGGCCAGAAATCCTGGGCTCTTCCTACCTTTGCCATATTTGCTTTCCTGTAAAACTTAACTGCAACTTAATTAGGATTCACAAAATCTCCATAAAGTAGATAAATAACAGGTTCATTTTATCAATACTGAAACTGAGGCTTAGAAGTAAAAATATTAAGTGATTAAATGTGAGATATGTGTATTTATTTGAATTCAGACTTTTTTCTTCCTCAGATATACTGAATTTATCAGTTTTCAACTAAATAAAAAGAAAATATAAGGTTCTGTAATTCCATAGAAGCTTCCCATGGTTTGCCAGAGGTTATTTATCTTCTTGTGATGTTCTTGCATCATGCATTTTGTATTAGATGCAAAGTGTATATAGTGTGATTGACAACTGACAAAAACTTTTTCTTGTTAAAGAATGTTTCCTAAAAACAGAAGGCAAAGATATTTGCTCAATTAGCGTTAAGAAGCTATACTGATACAATATGAGGTTTTGTTGGGGAGGGTCTGTTTTGTTTTTGTTTTTTTTAATACTTGTTAGCTGGAAGCTGTGCCTTTTGTTTGTCCAACAAGCACATGTGATTGTCCTGGCTTTCAGGTTATATTTGCACTCAAGGAAATTAAAGTGAAATATTGTTGCATTGTGGCAGTGAAAAGGCGCTTCCCTGTATTTTACCTATTCTATTCTGGGCCATGCTTAGGGTTTTAATTTTTATTCTCTTGTTTAGTGTGTTTTGATAATTATTTCTATAGCTGTGTCCTCACTGTAATTTATATTCAGAAAGCTATTTTTCACTTTAATATGGAACTTGAGAGTCAGAATTGAGATTGTAGTGATATTAAAATTTCTGATAGTTTATATTCTATAAACAGTCCCTCTACCTCTCTAGGGCTGGAAGGGACCTCAGGAGCTCCTCTAATCCAGTCTCATGCTAAAAGCAGGAACATCCCTATCCAAACCATCCCATACAAGCTTGTCTAACCTATTCTAGAGCTCATAATACAAAATAGTGGTAATTTAGCATTTGATGGCTGACATTGCAATTAACTGTTGCTGTTGAGTGTTCGCTTTTAGTGTCATTTAATAATTTTTTTATTATGATTTTCAAGCCAGGAGAGGACAGAGTTGTGAAGCATCTTCATTTAGAACATTAGTTCTCCAAATTAGGAAATGCTTTAGTGGGCACTTGTCATTGTATTTTGGTAAAGTTCATTAGGGACTGCCTATTTTCTACCATTTTGTTGCTATAGAAAAAGAATTTCTTTGTTGCCAAAATCCTGAAGGGCATTTGGCTTAGTGATATTTAAGAGTGATTTTAGAGCAAACCACTGATGCAGAGAAATGTGCTGTTACAATTGCTATCGTGCTAGTTAATTTTCTCTTAGTTTCTTCATAGAGAGAAGTTATTGATACCATGTAATATTCTTGCTATAATCCAGTAGATCTGGTATCTTTGCACAGGGCTGCTTTAACCTACATGAATCTTTTTTTTTTCCTTTTCTGTGACTATGAAGGTAAAAATCAAGGAATGTGAACCCCTTAATTTTTTATTAGCTAACCTAACATTAGCTGTGTGCACAAGGCGTGTCAAATTGTTGCCAGCCACTGTCTTTTTTTTTTTTTTTTAATCCCTTGCATGCAGTTAGTTTGTCCTGACAGTCTTTATGACCTGCAGCAGACTATTTGAACAGCCTATATTCACTATGCTATCTAATCAACCAGTTTTGCCTTAAACTGCATTGCCTTAATTCACAGAACTTCAGAAATTATGTTTTTCCCCATGTCAGTGTTGTCTAACTGGTAGCCTGCAGGCCGCGTGGCCTGTAAGGAGTTCATCTGCAGCTCCCATGGTCCCACCAAGTCACCACTTTCCCCCTTGCTTTGGCTGCAGCATCAACCAGGGTCTCTGAGCTCCCCCTCCTTCTTCCAGCTTTCACTTCCTGCCCCTGCCCCAGGGCACAATGCTATTCTGCCCTGCTCAAGGTTCCTGCGCAGTGTGGTACAGTAGGAGAGCCTGTGGCCTGGGAGCTGAAGGTGCCAGTGTGCCATGCAGCATGGAGTACCCATGTGAGTGGTGTAGTTCACAGTACATGGCGCTTCTGTTGGTCCACCCCATGGGGCAGGTGGCCCCCAGCAGCTTAAGTTGGACGTGCTCTATGTGATTACTGCCATGCTCTATGTGATTACCACAGTTATCCTAAACTTCAAGTTGCAAGGTTAGTAAAGATATGCTATAGAGCTTCTAATCCTCTATAAATTTGTTATATATGGACCCATTTTTAAGGCTCAATGCTATGAGTCAATCTGTCAGTTTAATGCAATAATAAACCTAGTTTTCTGTGTAAACCTCTATATAATTTCCGAGAGATTTCTCTGGGACTGCAGTATGCTTTTTTAAAAGTTTTTCATAACACACTTAGGACCATTTTTGGCCTAAAAGTTGAAAAGTTTTTCAGTATCTCAAATTAAAATAATGCTTCATAATAGAGGTAGTGTCTAACAGGGTGGCAGATTTTGGATATTTTTGTTTTGTTTTACAAAGCAGTCATGCTTGCTCTGTAGCCTTTTTTGCATTTCACATAAATAATAGAGCAGTAATGTATATGTGGGTGAGGGGTCCTTATATCAGAAATCTTTTATCAGACAGCTCTTCAATGATTTCTGTAAATTACAAACATCCTTTGAAATAAAACCCAGAGATTTTTAGCTTTCCATGAATTCTTGTCAAGCTGTTGAGAATTTTATATCTGAACAAATGTTTGTGCATAAATCAAATTTCATATTTTGAGAAACCCTTTACTTCTTGCTAAACTTCCCCATTATTCCATTCCTTGTTTTCCCCCTCTGATTAGTAGCTCTTTGCTGATGTACCTAATGTTGCCCAGTATTCTGCGCAAATTCTTCTGTTGCCTTTTAAAGCTGCCTGCTTCCCGAACAATTCCCCAGATAGCACTTTTACTTGTTCATGGTTTCTAAAAAACAGAATTTTAACTGTAACACTTTTAAAGTAAGTGAAACAATAACAATTAATGCAAACAGTTAGTTACAGGCCTTTGGAATTTATCTAGATGGAAGGTGCTATGTGAATGTAAAATTATTATTTTATTTAAAAATTGATGTATTTGGTTCACTAATTCAGTATGTCCAAATCTTCCTTATTTTTTTTCTATTGTGAGCTAGTGTGACATGTGATATTGACAATTCCCTCTTCCAGTATTTTAGGCTAAGATATGGTGAAGGGATGAATCAAAATTGGAGTACTGACAATATAAATGTCTTGGCTAGCAAAACTATTAAAGGACGTGTCTGGTAATATATGGAATTTTCAAGAAGAGCCCAGTGAAAGATGTGAACAAATATTTTGTTCATGGGTAAAAGCAATGAACAAACAAGCTTTAATTTCACATGGGTAGAATAGATTACTTCGCTTTGTACTAGAATTCTTAAATCTGCTTTTTGTTTAAAACAGAGACAGTCCCATTCAAGAATCTGGAACATTGCAACCTATCGCAGATTCCTGTGATTCCTTGATAACAGGTAAGAATGGAATTTTAGAATGCACAGTTAAAGGACGAGAGTAGCATATTTATTTTACATCTGCCTTATCTAAAAGGCTCAGAGCAAATTACAATGAACAAGCAACCAGATTTCCTAAACAACACCCCAAAACTTGAACTCCTAATTCCCCCAATTACCCTTCTTTGCTTAAGCCCCCAAAAAAGTGAACTCTGTAGCAGATGCCAGGTGCTTCCAAACATCTGTTTTCATTTAGATATAGCATACTTCTTTCTCTTTCTCCCACACCCTGCCCACCCTCTTCCACTACCCAGTTTCACTCCCTGGGGAGATCCTTTCTAAGCCCATCACTCCTCATCTATGGGCCCTCCCAAAATGCACGTACTGCATTTTCTCAAATATAAGACAAGGTTTTTTTTCCCCCCTGTTGGCATGGGGGGAACAAGTTACTCTCTTGTATTCACATACAAGGGAACCTCATTAAAGTGCTTGCTGTACTTGGTATAGAGATACATACTGAAAGGACTCACCATCTTGTAATAGTAATGTATGTTTATTTATCATCTTTGTATGGCAACCCACGCAAAGAATATAAATCCTCTTATTAGCAGATAAAAATAGGAGGAGACAAAACTATTCTGAAATTACTTGAGGGACTGGGTGTTTGATCTCTCTTGGTTGGTTTCCTGTTTCCATCAGCA